TGCTATCCTCACTGCCATGTATGCACTGCCTACTAGTACTGAGGGTGCCTGTTACCTGTGCGTACCGCCTGACCCAGGTATAGAGTCTGCTGCTCTAGGTGCTGGTGAGGCTGCTGCTCTCGGTGCTAGTGCGTCTCCTGCTCGAGGTGCTGGTGTGGCTGCTGCTCTAGGTGCTAGTGAGTCTGCTGCTCCAGGTGCCGGTGACGCTGCTCTCTCAGGTACCGTGTCGACTCAGGTCTTGCACACTTTCACCCTTGACTCAGGTGCTTCCCGCTCCTTCTTTCGCGACTGCACCACACTCTCGCCGCTCAGTCGGCCGGTGGCAGTCTCTCTGGCTGACCCCTCTGGGGGTCCGGTCCTTCCCCACTCCTCCACGGTTCTGCCGTGTCCGGCGGTCCCGTCTGGCTCACTGTCTGGCCTCCACCTCCCCTCGTTCTCCACGAACTTGGTGAGTGGAGCTGACTTTCAGGACACGTGGGTTGACCAGTTCACTCCTGGAGGTCAGCGGGTGACCCACTGTTCGTGTGCTCGGACGGGCCGGCACCTGGCCACGTTCACCCGTCAGCCTGGATCGAGCCTGTACACCCTGACTACCGTGTCTCCTCCGGTTGCTGAGTCTGGTCAGGTAGCTGCGTCGGGTCAGGTGTTTGCTGCAGCGTCCCGGTCTGGTCCTGAGTCTGCCCCCTGCTCGTGTCGCCTCCTGTCTCACCAGACTCTCCTCTGGCACCACCGCCTTGGTCACCCCTCCCTGCCTCGTCTCCGAGGCATGGCCTCCCGTGTCCTTGTCTCTGGTCTCCCCCGGTCCCTCCCTCCCCTTCCTCCGGGGCCTGCCCCTACCTGTGTTCCCTGCGTCGAGGGCCGGCAGCGCGCCGCTCCTCACTCCTCCGAGTTTCCTCCGACAGAGGCTCCGCTGCAGACTCTCCACATGGACGTGTGGGGCCCAGCCCGCGTCCGTGGACAGGGTCACGAGCGTTACTTCCTGCTGGTTGTTGACGACTACTCGCGTTACACCACAGTCTTCCCCTTGCGCCGCAAGGGTGAGGTCACTGAGGTGTTGATCGACTGGATCCGTGCTGTCATGGCGAGGAAAGCGTCACGAGCATACGCGACGTAGTCAGGGAGGTGGGTTGTAAAGATGTACAGGGTGAGATGCATGGGAAGGTGGTGCACACCAATGACCTCAGTAGTGCAAGCTGCGCGCTAGCTAGCATCAAATGAACAAACGTGAGTAACGAGATCGAAGATAGTAGAGAACACAAAGAGATCAAGAAAGAGGAATAACAAAACGAGGCGGCCTAGAGTGATAGAGGAGGGAGTGGAGTAGCAAGCAATAATAGCATCAAAACACTTCTTCGCCATTTCCAAATGGCAAAAGTGCTCCTGGTCAGCCTGCAGGAGGAGGCGACCGATAGTAAGGCGCGCAGTACCGTCATGCGCCTCCCAGAGCATGAGCTCGATGCATGTCGCGCGGTACTCCTCCCGCTGTGCCGCGTGGCATTGACAACAAGATCAGAAGGACGCGGGGGGGGCTGGTAGCTCACCCAAAGCGTGGGCATACAAGGAGGGTTCGTTCTGAAGCAGACTCCACATGTAGAGCTTGACGTCAAGCCGCCACGCAACAAAATTCACCACACGTCCCTCCGCATCGAAGTTTGTTTTGTTTTGTTTTGTTTTTTTTTTTTTGTCCGCATCAAAGTGCAAGGCATAGTCAGTCGCCATAACAGCAGGGAGCAGGGGCATGGCTACAGCATGTGAGAGGAAATGGCCATAGAAGGAGGAGTAGGAGGCCGCAAACGGAAACCCTAAACTGCAGGCGCATGCACGGTAGATGGTGCTACTGAAGGCGTATTACTGGTACAGCGGTAAGGTGCGCAGTCGAGCATGGTAGGGCACGTCGTGCGGGCTACACACGCATAACAGGCACGAGCAGTAGGGGCACGGGCGCAGGCCATCGTGGGCTAGCGTGCGGGCTGGTGCGGGCGGTAAAGTAATGTGGGCTGGTGAGTGGGGGGCGCGGAAGCGTGGGCTGGTGTGCGACTGGCATGAGCGGCGTGCGGCTAGCGCCGAGTGGCGCGCGGCTAGCGCGTTCGCTGGAGCGTGGATGACGTGAGCAGCACGATGGCTGGTGCAAGTGGCTGGCACACTGGTGTGCGCAGCTGGCTGGAGCGGCTGGCTGGTGCACTGGTGAGCGCAGCTGGCTGGAGCGGCTGGTTGGCATGGCTGGCTTGCGCGCTGGCTGGTGCGTTGGTTGGCGCGGCTGGTTAGTGCGACTGGCACCGCGCTGGCTGGTGCGTTGGCTGGCGCACTGGCTAGCGCGGCTAGCTGGTGTAGTTGGCTGGAGTGGCTGGCTGGCGCACTAACTGGTGCAGCAGGCTGGCCCACTTACTGGCGCGCCCGGCTGGTGCTTTGGTTGGAGCGGCTGGCTGGCACGGCTGGCTAGCGCTGCTAGCTGGCGCTCTGGCTGGCGCGGATGGCCGGCGCGTATGGCTGGCACGTTGGCTAGCGTGTCTGGTTGGTGCACTGGCTGGCGCGGCTGGCTGGAAATGATTGGCTGGCGCAGCTGGCTGGTGTGGTGGTTCGCATGGTAAAGGGCGTCTAGAGGGCGTCGTAAGGGGCAAATGGGTGAGGGTGCACTAATGGCGCCCTTATGGTTAGCTAGGGTACGCGAGGCGGACGAAATGGCCTAACTTAATATGATAACATATCAATGAAATAAGGAATAACTAGAGGGCAAACAGTTGTGATATGTACCATCTACTGTACACCTAATGGCAAGTCTAGCACGTACGTTTTCAGTTGAAGTACAGTTCATCCTGTGCGGTTAATCTTAGTGAGTCATGGTGCAAAACGGTGAAGATTTAAAACTACTGTGCACCACCTAGGATATTTTAACCCACGCATCGACTAGACAACACGAGCCTGTGACATTTCTACGCAGATGAATGAACCAGTCTACTCGCATGGACTCTAACGAAACCATCATTCATTTACATCAAAGCCATCACGATTGAAAAAAAAATGCAACAACGAGCCGCCTTGTAAGCGGTCCACGTTGCGACATATTGTTCGCTCATGACTTTGATCACACTGTTATTCTTCTTGCCTTAGTTCAGTCCTGGCTTAATCATTCCATCGCATAAACATTAAGAAATACATGGAACTCTATCCGGGGTTGATCAAGCATAAACAACAAGAAATACATGGAACTCTATCCGGAGTTAATCAAGCATAAACAACCTATACATTGTAGTATCTGGACTTGCAGGTGTATCTGAAGTTAACCCCGCAGCACCGTACTGCACATCAGAGTGCTTGCCAACTGCATGCCAGCGTAGCAGCAACATAGCCAAGGCCCATAGGGGTATTTCGCATGGAAGAAACAATGTCGAGCTGAAGTGCACGATATTCCTGCAGCACAAAAGGCTACTCCAGTTTCCCCTCCCCTTGTTACCAACATCTCGTCATCATGACTCGACAGTCATGTCGGCTACCGAAGCGTCACGCGGAGTTTCGAGCTTCCACGTGAAGGTGGAGCTCGTCACGTCACACGCACACCGCGGTAGCAGAAACGGCACTCGCTGCTCATCGATTTTCTCTCATCAACATGACTCTCGTACTAGTCATCGCATGGTTCGACTTGGAGCAGCGTCCTGGCGACCTCGGTGTCGTCCACACGTTGACCGCTGCGCGGCTGCGCAGTCGCTGTCGCCGGAGCCGGGCCACGTTGAGTCATGGCGGCCCGCTCCACGTGTATCACACGCGAGGCCTCCCCTTGCTGGCAAGAATCAAGATCTCCCGTTGTAACGCCTACTCCACCTAACTACCGCGGATTTCCTAAGTCAACATTGAGAGAGTGCTCGATGAGGAATGACGTGAAGGCAATCGAGAAGGTTGAGTTGGAGAGGAAGATTGGCTTGGGAATTTCCAACCCTCAACCTTGAGGCTTGGAAACTTCCAACCCATCAAAGTAAAGATTGGAAAGGTTGGATTTCCAACCAATCAGATTGTGCCAATTGTTGTTACAATCCAACCAAAGAACAAAACAACCATACAACACTATTAAGATGGGTTTTCCCAACCAAACAAAGATGCCACCTAGGCTCCAAGCCTATTAGCTCCCCAACCATGGAAGCCATGGTTGGGAAGAGCCCCAAGGGGTATTGTGGAAGGGGTTGGAGCTTTCAAGCTCATTCCCACTTCCCAACTCCAACTCACCAATTTGGAGATGGGATTTCTCTAAGTCATTTTGGTTCTCCTAACAAGCTCTCCTACACAACTAGACTTGTGATTTTTCAAAGACAAGCTCTACAAGAAGCTATCTACCTACTTGCTAAAGCTTCATCAACTCTTCAAGTCATCTTCCTCCTCTCAAGCTTCAAGGGTATTATCAAGGCTAGTTTATCCCTTGGAGGGATTAGTTTAATCTTGGAAGCCTTGCATCTTGATTTTATATAAATTATCAAGGAGGATTTATATTTAACACACGGTTGCCCGTTGTTATAAGGGCCGTGGTTATTACATTGGTATCTAGAGCTAGGGTTATTCTAAGCCTAGTGAGGATTTTGCCCCTAGAGATTATATATATATATATATTTAGATCTTGGAGTTGTGGTTTCTCTTTAAGAGAACACTCAAGATCTGGAAGCTGGAAGAGTTCAAGATCTACAAGATCTACAACTGCAACTTCAAGCTAAGAAGAGAGATTTATCTCTCTTGCTTACCTTTTGGTGGAAGACTCTCTACTGTTGAAGTAGTGGAGTATAAACTTGGATCTGGAGGATTTGTTGAGGGTTATACAAGTTCTCTTTGTTGAGATTTGGATAGACCTTGCCCTTTCACTTAGGTGATTGGGAGTGTTTGACAACAAATCTGTTACCTTTGGTAACCTTGGATTATTCTGTAGAAGAAATTTATTTTCTAAGAATTTCTTGCTTTACCATTAAGGTGGTAAAAAGGCTTTAACAGAATCAACCCAGATCTTACAAGCTCCCTTAATCCTCATGGAATCTGGCCAAGAGAAGGATATGGCAAGGGAGGAAGGGCCCACTGCACCTAATGAAGTGGTGAACAATGTTGCTGAGATTGACCTCAATCAAGATGAGGCAATGGCTGACCTTGAGTTGGATAATATTGAGGACCTGGACCGGGACTTTGGAGATGAGCATAACCATGGTGAAGCTGAGAACCATGATGAAGCTGAGAACCATGATGAAGCTGATAATCATGGTGAAGCTGACAACCATGGGGAAGAGGATAACACCGGTGAAAAGGAGAACACTGGTGATGAAAATGACTTCACCGAGGGTGAAGGCATGAGTTATCCTATCTCCGAGGAGATTGTCCAACTCCAGGCTAAAGTGGCAACTCAGAATATCACCATCCTGCAGCAGCAGACGTCCATTGATGGACTCAAGAAGCATACTCAGAACCTTGAGGCTGATCTGTGCATTGCCACGAAGGAGGTTACTGACTTCCGTCGCAGCCTGGGCACTAAAAAGCGCCAGATTGAGTGGCTTCAGAAGACTTGCACTAATCTGCAAGCATCATTCAACAAGCTCCATGACCAGTTCAAAGAGCTTAGGAGGGAGGGCATTTACCAGCCTCCTCCTGGGCATAGGCCCGCTCCTGCTGCTCAGCCGGCATCCGCTCCGCCCGCACCTACGCCAGTAGGCGCCGCGACGGCTATGCACGAGCCACCTCCAACCGAGACCTCGCCCTTTGGGTCTCTCTCGGCACCTCTGCCTGAGTTTAACCATAGCAAAACGGAGGTCCAACCTTGGCTTGACCTGGTGAATGACACCATGATCCTTGCGAATGTGCGTCCTGAGGCTCGCGTCACTGCAGCTACTCGTGCATTGGACGAGGTGGCCCGCATGGCAGTGTATGGCACTAAGAAGTAGGCGCAGGGACCGTTTGAATGGCCAGAGTTCTTCACCGCGCTGAAAGAGGCATTCATGGTCAAGAAGTCCGACCTGGAACTGCGCGGACGCCTTGAGAGTATCAAGTGTCGTGACCGTTCGGTGCAGGAATATGCGGTCGAGTTTGAAGCCGCAGCACGCTCGCTCCATAAGCCTTTGTCTGAGGAGGAGATGATGCACGTCTTCATGAAAGGCCTCTTTGTCATGACCAATTGGACGACCTACAAGGAGATGAAGGAGCAGGTGATCAAAACTGACAACATCATTCGCACGTACATCCATGGTCCTGCAAAGCCAGACCAGCAGCCCCGTGCTGAGGGCTCTGGTGGTCGTGGAAACCGACCCCAGAATGCCAACAGCAGAGGCGGTTGGAACAAGCGACCCTTCCAGCAGCGTGATCACCAGCCTGGACCACAGGCCAAGAGGGCTAACGGGGGGGAAGGTCATGGCCCTAACAAGCCCGACTTCTCCAAGATGAGGTGTAACGGCTGTGGAAGGATTGGACACATCAAAAAGCACTGCCGTGACAAGAACGCTATCAAGTATTCAGGGAAGCCTAAGCCAGGCGGCGCTGGACCTTCTGGAAAGAAGGATTTTCAGAAGCCCAACTAGGGTGTGGGTACCTAGTTGGAGGAGTAGATCGAGTGGATGAGGCATATGTGCTATGTGATGATGATATATTTAAGCTAGAGAAGCTTGCTGACTGCAAAGTCTCTTGTTTGTTTGCCCCCTCTTTTAATAAAAACCCTGTTTTTTATCCTCGATCGTACCCACTTGATAACATTTCCATGGAAGCAATGCAGGATAAGTTTTCAATTATTTTATGTGGCTTGGACATTCTGCCTTCTGTCATTGAGATTGTGAATCGTTGCACTCAAGAGCACCCCCTGACTTCGGTCGCGTTGGTGACTCGCACAGTGAAAGGCGAATTGTTCCATGTGGATGGCCGGTCCTAGTGGCATGGGACAAGGGACACCATGTATGGTGGACCAACTCTCAGTCACAATGTTAAGGTGCATTTCAAACCTTCGACGGATATTCTGGCATGTCCTATTTACCCAAAGCATCAACAAAATCTGTTGCTTGCGGGTAGCGTGAACGGGGAAAACGCAAAAATCCTTGTTGACACGGTTGCAACTGTTTCCCTCTTTGATGAAAAGTGGGCCACAGCACGCATGATCCTCGTTGAAGGACCGTCTTGCCCCATTCGCCTTGGTGATGATAGCATCATCCCAAGCAAAGGGCAGACACGGATCAACATGGAGATTGAGGGTTATCACGAAGAGATCTGCGCGTATGTCTTACCCCTTCTCGCAGGCGACGACCTTGTCCTTGGAATGGACTGGCTTCGAGCGAATGAAGTCAAGCTTGATTTCCAGGACAATACGGTCTCATTCTCAAAGAATGGTGACACTGTCCAGTGGCAAGTGCCTAAAGACTTGATCATGAACGAGCAACACACGTCGGAACGTCCCGATGTGAGTTTCGCACTCGCAAACGAGTTCGGACAGCATGTTCGACAAGCCGATACCTTTTTTGTGGTACAGCTTGAGAATGCTGAACACGAGATGCCTGGGGTCGAGGATTTCCCGCCTCAGATGAAAGCACTGGCGGACGAGTTTGCGGAGGTTTTTGAACCCATCCCAGATGGCCTTCCTCCGGACCGTGCAGTCAGTCACACCATTCCAGTGGAACCTGGAAAACTCCCACCGTTTAGACCTCTGTATCGCCTCAGCCCAGCTGAGTACGAGGAGGCTAAACAACAAATTGAGGAGTATCTTAGGAAGGGATGGATTGAACCAAGCGCATCACCTTACGGAGCGCCGATCTTGTTCGTGAACAAAAAGGGCGGAGGGTTATGCATGTGCGTAGACTACCATGCTCTGAACAAGATAACGGTGAAGAACATGTATCCCCTACCGAGAATAGAGGACCTATTCGACAAACTCCAGGGTGCACAGTGGTTCAGCACATTGGACCCTGCGCAGGGGTATCACCAATTGCGCATCACTGAAGAAGATGTACCCAAGACGGCTTTTCGATCGCCGTTTGGTAATTTTCAGTGGCGAGTGCTGAGCTTTGGCCTGACCAATGCTCCTGCCTCTTTTCAGAGAGCTATGAATGATGTCTTTCGCAAGGCGATTGGACAGCTCGTTCTGGTCTATCTGGATGACATCTTGGTTTACTCCAAGACGGAAGAGGAGCACATGCGACACCTTAAGTGGGTGTTGGGGAAACTACGGGAGCATAAGTTCTATGCTCGTCTGTGGAAATGTCATTTCTACAAGCGCGAGTTGGAATATCTTGGCCATCTCGTGGGAAATGATGGTCTCAAAGTAGACCCAAAGAAAGTTGTCGCAGTCCAGAACTGCCCGGTGCCACAAGATGTGGGTCAAATAAGGTCGTTTTTGGGACTGGCGAACTATTTTCGTCGATTCTTGCAGAAATATTCTACCATTGTTGCTCCATTAACGGCCCTCACTCGCAAGAGTAGCGCTTGGCAATGGACACAGCAATGCCAAAAGGCATTCGACGAGGTCAAGCGAATGTTGACCAACGCTCCAGTACTGGTTTTACCAGATCCGACAAAACCCTATGAGGTCGTTACCAATGCCTCATTGATAGGGATTGGGGCTGTCCTCTTGCAAGAGGGGAGACCAGTGGCATTTGAGAGTCAAAAGCTCTCCCCGGCAGAGCAGCGCTATACGACGTCCGAACAAGAACTGTTGGCGGTCGTTCATGCGCTACGAACATGGCGATGTTACCTGGAGGGTGTGGACTTTGCGGTTACGACCGACCACTGTCCAAACACCTACTTCTCCACCCAAGCCACGCTTACTTGACGCCGAGCCCGATGGGCGGAACTCCTTAGCGGGTTCACTTTCGATATTCGATATCGAGCAGGTTCGACGAACCTGGCTGACCCCCTCAGCAGACAGCCGATAGGGGCAGCAACACGGCTAGACGACACAGAGGATGCGGCCGTATTTTCTGCTTGCTTCAGTGTCCTAGCAATGGCTCAAGTAAGTGAGATTACCTTTAGTGGTTTTCTGAAACGCATCCGCACAGGGTATCAAATTGACTCCTGGTTTCAGAACCCACGAAACACGAAGGAACTCAAGTGGGAGCATGAGCTCTGGTGGCGTAAGAATGAGATTGTTGTACCTCACGTGGGTAACCTGCGGAATGACATTCTGGAAGAAGTACATGCCGCTAAGTACGGAGGACACCTAGGGGTCAAGAAGACCAGGTGGGCCTTGAGTGATGTGTACTGGTGGCCGGGATTGGGCACTAAGGTCCAGCAATTCGTGGCGCGCTGCGACGCATGCGCACGAAATAAAACGGACACAAAGAAGCCTGGTGGTTTGCTTTAACCACTCGAGATCCCGAATGAACCTTGGGATAGCGTATCCTTGGATTTTATCACGGATCTTCCCAAGACTCGCGATGGCCATACAACGATCCTAGTGTTTGTGGATCGTCTGACAAAAATGGTGCATTTCGTGGCTACGACAAGTGACGTATCTGCGGAAGATACGGCCAAATTGTTTGTGGCGCACGTTTTCCGCTTACACGGGTTACCACGTGTCTTGGTGTCTGACCGAGATCCGCGCTTCACAAGCCGGTTCTGGCAAGAGGTTACACGGACACTAGGAACGAAGCTTAAGATGTCCTCAGCGTTCCACCCACAAACCGATGGGCACACAGAACGAACAAACCGGACACTTGAACAGATGCTTCGTTCATTCATTGGCCCAACTCAGGATGATTGGGACGAGTTGTTGCCTGTCGTTGAATTCGCAGTGAACAATTCAGTTCATGAGGGTACACGTGAGAAACCTTTCATTATGAACTGTGGTCGGCACCCCACAACACCTGCTATGCATGGGATTGGCGGATTGAAAATTCCAGCCGCAAAAGACTTTGTTGGCAAGCAGCAAGAAGCGCTTAAGTCTGCTCGCTATTGGCTGCAACTCTCTCAGCAGCGACAAAAGTCTTACGCCGACATGAAACGCCGGGAAGTCTCTTTTGAGGTCGGAGACAAAGTTTCGCTGAGCACAAAGAACATTCGTCTCAAAATCCCTGGAGCACGAAAGCTGTTCCCTCGATGGATTGGGCCTTTCGAGGTGATCAAGCGTGTTGGTGTGGTAGCTTACAAGCTTAAGCTGCCTGATACACTACAGATTCACAGCGTCTCCCATGTGTCTCTGTTGAACAAGTACGTTGCAGAGGGCAAGTACTTGCCGCCACCAACGATCGTCCTGGGGGAGGAACTATTTTATGAAGTCGAACGAGTGCTGATGCACCGTGATCGACAGCGCGGCCGCAAGATAGTACGAGAGTTCCTCATTAAGTGGAAAGGCTATGGGCCTGAACACAACTCATGGGAGCCAGAAGAGCATTTGACTGAAACTGCAGTTCAGTCATCCATGGCAGATCTGGCCCGACGAGCTGCCGCACAGCCAGTGGATGGTGTTGACCCTGGTCATAATGTGACACGGCGTGCTCGAAGCGCTCGTCCTCAGAAGCACCCTAAGGCAACGGGGACGTTGCCACCTAGGGGGGGAGGAGTGTAACGCCTACTCTACCTAACTACCGCGGATTTCCTAAGTCAACATTGAGAGAGTGCTCGATGAGGAATGATGTGAAGGCAATCGGGAAGGTTGAGTTGGAGAGGAAGATTGGCTTGGGAATTTCCAACCCTCAACCTTGAGGCTTGGAAACTTCCAACCCATCAAAGTAAAGATTGGGAAGGTTGGATTTCCAACCGATCACATTGTGCCAATTGTTGTTAAAATCCAACCAAAGAACAAAACAACCATACAACACTATTAAGTTGGGTTTTCCCAACCAAACAAAGATGCCACCTAGGCTCCAAGCCTATTAGCTCCCCAACCATGGAAGCCATGGTTGGGAAGAGCCCCAAGGGGTATTGTGGAAGGGGTTGGAGCTTTCAAGCTCATTCCCACTTCCCAACTCCAACTCACCAATTTGGAAATGAGATTTCTCTAAGTCATTTTGGTTCTCCTAACAAGCTCTCCTACACAACTAGACTTGTGATTTTTCAAGGACAAGCTCTACAAGAAGCTATCTACCTACTTGCTAAAGCTTCATCAACTCTTCAAGTCATCTTCCTCCTCTCAAGATTCAAGGGTATTATCAAGGCTAGTTTATCCCTGGGAGGGATTAGTTTAATCTTGGAAGCCTTGTATCTTGATTTTATATAAATTGTCAAGGAGGATTTATATTTAACACACGGTTGCCCGTTGTTATAAGGGCCGTGGTTGTTACACCCGTCGTCTGTAGTGGATGGAGGCGACTTACGAGTTTCAGCCTGGCGTTCGCCGCACCGTGTCTTCTTTATCTATCATGTTAGCCCTTTTGGACACAAAGCACGTTCGTGTGCATCGTTTTTGCAAACAAAGAACAAGAGACGGCGACATGGTTTATCTGAACCCATTCTTCCCCACCCGCGTCATCCTACAAGAAGATAAAGATATTTGCCAGTCCAGGCGATCGCACTGCCATTGCTCGACTCGAATTCTAATACGCGGAAAATCTCTCTAGTCGTGTTGATACTGTGTCCGCTGAGGCGTTTTGCACGCCGAGTT